AAAATAAAAATTCTTTTAGAGTAGATGAACAAAGAACAACCAAATCAAAAAGGTTTAATACAGTAATCTTTGTACATTAATCACAGCTAAACGAACAGGACGGGCGCATAAATAAAGGCCAAACTGACGGCTGACTGTAGCAAAGTCGGCCATCACTGAAGAATAATGATCAAATCCGGTTGCATAGTCTAGAATCCAAAAGCTGGCTGCGTTACGTCCAGTCCGTCGCTTACTTGGTCTTGCTAACCGCGGTGAACGATAGCGATTCTGGCATCCGGTTGCACGCTAGATCTTGATTATTTGGGTACTTCCTGATGACGCTTTGCACGAATCATGGCAGGGCGGGAAAAGTTTTGCTTGGCCTTCACGAACCGGAACCACACAGACGTTGGCACGTTTTGGCACCCAAAGTAGTGCTCTCGTAGTTCGTCATCATTGAACAATGAGCTGACATTGCACTGGGCACCGACGATCGTCTTACTGTCGTCGTGGCTGCTGCTTTCGTATATGAGTGGCTTTGACTCTGGCATTAACCTTTTTATAGCCTAAACCACATGTAATTCAGATATGTCGAAGTGCGATTCCTGTACAACAATAAATACCGAAACCATGTCATAATAATGAGTGTAATGTTGTATGAAGAGAACGGTTCCGTAGTGATAAAAGAAGCTGGACCTTCATTTTACTATCAGACTTTGCCAGAGGACGAATCATCAAAAAGTTTACATTATTAAGTTGAATGACATATGACTAAAAGGAATGAAGCATTGATCCAATGAAGAAGCCAAAATTTCAGGAAAGCTAACGCAATAATACATAATCGTAACGTTAAAATTAGGAAACATATTTTGCACACCATTTGAATGTAGAATATGTTATCGCAGATACGGTCACCCTTGAGCAAAGACGGTTCTTCTCTGATTGACTTCGCTAATCAGAAAGAAAACTTGTCAGGGAGTACTTCAGATGTCGCTGACTCAGGACTTAATTTTATTTAAATATCCTTTATTCGCTTCATTCAGTATACTATATTAAAATTACTTTAATGTACTATTTAATATACTATACAATATTTAATTTCTTCATCGCGATAATCATTAAACGTTTATTCAGTTATACTTCACAGAATCTGTACAGCGTTTTGGATCGCACTGAATCTCTCATAGAACAGGGCTGATAAATAACTCAATTTCAACTATATATGACAATTATTTAGGATTACTGCCCTTAATTACTTTTTGATTTGAATTTACTTTGTACAATTAAAATAATGGTTACTCATTCGGCAGAAAGTCAGACTCGCAGGCGAAAATTTATGAGTTACAGCGAAAATCAGCTTACTTGTTATTTGTTTCTTTCACGAGAAACCATAACCATTTTGTAGGAAATAAAGCAGGAAATGACATGCTACATTTGTCACATTATTTTAAACATTGTCTTTAGGCTAAAAGTCCTGACTTGTGGAATGGAAACGTGGGCCATTGCTGTAGCATAAGTTTTACTGTACAGAGCATGACTGGGTGCCAGTATAAAAACACGTGAGCGATCGTATTTGAGCTTCTGTTATATTTCGCAGTGGCAAACAACATTGTCCGTTGTATTCGCACACTTTTACACTGTTTTTGGAAGACTGCAATACTTCGACCTAAAACGTCGTGATTATGTTGAACAAAATTAATATAGAGAATCCTTTGAAGAAGTCTAAGATCAAAAACTTCCACGCTTACATTAATATTCATAGTGAATGGGCATCTAAGACTGTCAAAGATATTCAGGACGTTTTTAGGGCGACAAAGTCAATATTCCATGGTTCCACGTATTAGCTGAAGCTGCCACCGATTCCAGTAGCTCAGTTTCGTGGTAGTAAAATTCTGGGTATCAAGATTACAGCCCAATTCGAGGTCCTGAATCATAGGGAGCAAAACATGCTGAATAATTTATAAAAGAAAAGCAAAGTATTCGAAAGACAATTTAACAGATTCACAATCCTTGGTGATGGCGGGTTGAAAAGTGTGACTGCCGGAAACTGCTGTTCTTTTCAAGGCCTGAATGCAAAGCTTAGCTTTTTTGATTTAGACTGTTTTAAAAATCTGACAACTCCGCCATGACCGGTCCCAAGCCCGGATGAGAAAGGAGGAGGGTTGGAGACCGTGGCAAGTCTCCGT